GCCACGCTCCAGCTCTTGAGTAGGAGACAAAAAACATTAAAATGTGGTATGTATATAGAATGTGCCATTGTTTTCCATAATTCAAGGTTCTTTTGAATTCCTTTGATAGTTTTGAAGCTTACACAACTTAATTCATTAACCTTTCCCCTTCCATAAATCAGGTAATTAGGAATTTATTGCTAAGGAAACAGATTTTTCCCTCCACTGAATCTTAATCCTGTCTTCTCTTTAAAAAACAAAACCAAGGCTCACAAAAGTAACCTTTTCTGTTGCTTTTCATCAAAGTTTCATCAAATGGTTCAGCTGCCTTTTAGAACATTATCAAAGGCAAATGAGCATAATATTCTGTTATTATGAAAAATCATTCTTGATGCTTTCGATACTTTGGAGGTTTTCTGGCCATTTTCAGTATTCTAAGGCATTTTTATATATGTTCTCCACAGTTGTTATTCACGAAATTTACAATAGTTGCAATTTTAAAAATTTCTCTTCAGAATCCTGCCACAACATAAAAGCAAGAAAATATCATGAGGAGAGTAAACTCAGAAAAAAAGGAAAATGTTTAAATGAAACTTTGGATATTTTATTAGAGAAAATTTTTATATAAGCCGTTGTTTAATAGAGAATAATGATATGGGACTTCAAAGAACGTAGGTGAGTCTTCTGTGGCTCCAGAGAGGTAGGGTAGAATGTATGTTGTCTGATTATTCCCTCCTGTTAAGTAAGACAAGGCTCCCCTTATATTTCTGAACTTGGAAAGATTAATATGCTTGTGTTTTATATTCAAGGACCCTTTTAATCATATTAAATGTTCTCTGTGTTTTCTGACTCTGCCATTTTTCCTGTATTACAAAGTTTTCCTTCAAGTTTTAAAATCTCTTACATAGTCCTGCTTGAAATTGGAAATCTTTGATATGACCTGAAGGAAATGTTGTTCCTGTGGAACTCTGAGCTTTCTCTTCAGAAACGGTGAGAAATAAATAGGAAAATTCTGAATTGTTGATTCAGAGTTTAGAACATTTATAAGACTTCCCCCACCTCTGCCCTTCTGCCCAACCCACAGCAAACTTGTTTAATCACTGAACCTAAATGAATCCTGGGCTGAAGCAATAGTTCAGTTGCTTGGGGGTTGCCTGACACACAGCAGATCTTAGGTCAGTCTCAAGCACTGCACAGGGTGCCCCGAACACCACCATGAGTGATCCCTAAGCCCAGAACCAGGAGTCAGCCCTGTGCACCACTGGGTGTGGCCCCAGACCAAACCCAAACAAATTTATCCTATCTTCAAATCAGAAAGAATAGGAGGTAAAGGTTTACAGTATGGTTACTGGTTGTCTCATCCTGGGTTTTCCTCTTTCAACTGGTGCTGTTTCCCACTCATTTCTTTACACTCTCCCACTAGTGCGTGCTCTCGGGAGCTTGGATAGTTGCGAGCATTCTTCGTTTGTTGCGTGCATGTCTTCAGCGAGCCAACAAGCTCTGGTGTTTACACACTGCAAGTCTGTCTGCAGCCAAAAACGCTTTTAAAACAGGCTAGAACTACCTCAAAGAAATGGGTCCCAGGGTACCTCCTGTAAGTAGATTCTAGAATGGTCTTTAACTATTTCAGGAGAAAAGGCCAGGCTACCGGGAAGCCTAGAACCAACTCATTCCCAATTCTAATGCTAACCAGGGACCGACAGTAGCTCCGTCTCTCTCACTGTGCACCACCGTGAGACACAAGCCACTTCCATTCTCATCTTCCAAAGCAGTAGCTTGTTTTGCTGTTCACTTGAGCCACTCCGTCATCTGCTTTGATATCATGTTGAGAATTTCAGTTTGCATTCACAGAACTTCATGTTTCTTCTATCTTATCTATGAAGAATATGATAATTAAACCAAAATTAAATTTTGCTGTGGATCTTCCCAGGAAAAAGCTGTTTTTCCCCTTCAAGGATTCTTATTTGAATAATAGTTCTGTGTTGTGCATGACACATGACTTCACATACTGACTGTGATTACAGGGTTATTAAAGTATTTGGAAACCCTTATGCAACTGAACTTTAACAAACAGAACAGAATCCTAGCTGATGCTTTGTGAAAGCAAGGCGCTTTTCTCTTGCAAATTTTCTTTTCTGTTTATTAAAATATGAAATGTAAAGGTGTGGCTGGGGATACAGTACAGCAAGTAAGGCACTTGCCTTTTATATGTTGGCCTTGGTTCGATCCCGAGCTCCACATATGGTCCCTGAGCACTCAGGAGTGATCCCTGAGTCTAGAGACAGAAGTAAGCCCTAAGAACGTGGGGTGTGGCCCCCAAAATAAAAAAAAAATAGGATTGTACTCTTGTTTTGAAAAAAATATTTTTTTGGTTTGAAAGACATTGTTTCCTTCTTAATTATGTGTTATCTCTGGGCTCATTCCTCTTGAGTAAGTAATTATATTTTGTATCTGTTCACAGGGATTTGGTGTCTGTGGTTAGGTAGGAAACCTAGTGCTCATTGTCTTTCAGCATTTTTGACATGGTTTCCATCCAAAGATCATGTTCATTTAAATGAATACCAGTTCCTGTTGCTTGTGCAATAGCATTTGATGGAATGTACAGTGAAATCAACATACTGTCTGCTGCTTATAGGGAATGCCTGGTGTATCTTTAATGTCCATGTATGTGTGTATCATATCTAATATGAAACCAAGTGTCAGGAACACAAATTTTCTCAGAATTTTCTTCATAATCTAATATAAAATCATACATTTTGAGCTGTTTGAATAGAGCATGACAACAATGTGCAATTAATTATAGGAACATAACCTCTGATGAATCTGTTGCATTTTGTAATGATCATATCAATTAATGGATCTGCTTGCCTTTTTTGGTAGTTAATAGAGGATGGTGGTAAGTGTATTTTTGTTATTTTTTGTTGGGTTTTTTTTTGTCTTTGTTTTGGCACCAAATCTGACATTGATCAGGGACAGTTCGCGCATACCTTACCTGCTGTATTAATCTCTTCAGTCCGAGGATAAGACCAAGACTTCCATTTTTTTTTAACTCTTTAGAAATATTTTCAGCACTTTGTTTTTTTTCCTTAGCGTGTGAAAATTAAGTATTCTAAAATGCAAATCAAGCATGGCTGTTGCCTATAGTGTTTTATTTCTGGTCTTTTCCTTTTTATGGGTTTATTAAAATGTTACATTAAAACTAGATGGCATGGAATTACATTTTTCAATTTCCCTTCATAATAGTTCTTATGATTTATAATTACATTGTTATTGTTGGGTTTTGTTGACTCACAGAAATGCTTGTTTTTGTATCATAATTTTTTAATTAGGTTTTGTTTGGGGGCCACACCTAACAGTGCTTAGGAGTTGCTCCATGGTGGGGCTTGAACCAGGGTCTGCCATGTACAAGGCAAGCACCTTCCCCTGTACCATCCTCCCAGACCCGTACAGTCTCAAAACTAGCCCAGCTGAATGTTTATACATTTATCCTGAGGAACTTTGAAATGTTAATCAATTAAAACAATATTCTATAAAAATATTTTAAAGAAAAAATGTTTTCTCTGTAACTAATTTAACCTTCAATAATGAATTATGTGAAATAAAATTGTACAAAATCTCCTGACATTTTATTAAGATACCTATAAGGAAGCCAGACAGCAAATAAAATAGATGACAGACAGAGACAGATACTCTGTAATTTCTTGATGGATTATACACAAAGGTATCAAATTACTTGATCCTTACTTCCTAGAAAAGGTTAATGATTCTTTTTGCTTTTACCCTTTTACTTAACTGTTATTTATAAAGATTAAAACAGGGACTGCACTGAAGGACGCATATACCTTTGTCAGTTATGACTGTACAGGTTTTTTTGATATTACAGGGGACTAAGCCACATAATAGACGGTGTAGCTGATCATTATTTTTAAAGTTCATTCAGTTGTGTAGTATAGGTTCTGCTCGGGCTATTAGAACAGATTGCACCATTCAGGGTCTTTTAAAACTTACACAAACCAGCAAAGACTTCAAATCTTTGTTTATTTGAAGACCTATACCTATGAATAAATTTATTTAAAACATTAAGAACAGGGGCTGGAGAGATATTACAGTGGATAGTGAGAGAAGTGCTTAGTGAGAGAAACAGATTTCTTTTATGTCTTCATATGGTATGACATTAGAACTTTTTGTTTTAATCTTGGTGAATGGTTTTATCAAAACATGTATTTTGAGGCAGGGATAAGACACTTCATTGCATTTAGCTGCCTGGGGTTCGATCCCCAGCATCAATAAGGTTTCCAGAGCCCCAGAAGTTATCCCTAAGCACAAAGCCAGAAATAAGCCCTGAGCACAGTTAGTTAAGGCCCAAAAACCAATTAAAACAAAAAACATAAACAAATGTTTAGTTCAAGGGTCATACGTTGCATGTAGCCAGCCTTGGTTTGATCCCTGAAACAATGTATGGTTCCCTGAATACAGCAAGAAGTGATCTCTGGACACAGAGCCCAGAGTATCTCCCCAGTGTCACTGGTTGTGACCCAAATCTCCCCCTAAACACTGCAAAAGTGTTGCAGTGTTAACAAACCACCAATAGTGATGATCAGTAATTGAAATAAGCAAGATTATCATCCATCTGCAATCACCTGTAGTCTACAGTTTAATAATAATTAATTTCATATTATTTTATTATGTACAATATGCGTTCATTATGTGGATATGTACACCAGTGTTTTATTATCATCAGTACCATTACCCTTATAGAGGTATTGATTTTCGTTTTAGCTTTAAAATATGCACTAGTTCCAAATGTACTTAATTAACGTCATTTAGGTATTAGAGCACTTGAGTTAAAAGCAGGGAATATAATATCTTTTCCAGAAACACCTTGAAAGAGGCTTGTTGAAAGAAGAGGGCTGTGGCATTCATCAAAAGCTGACCTCTCTCTGTTAAGCTCTTGGCCAAACTCTTGCTAATTTCACTTGAAATGCATTAGTGTAACTCACCACTTCCTGTGTGTGTTGCAGGTGTGTGGAGGTCATTGCAAAGGAAGGGCAGAACCTGAAAGAGCTGTATTTGGTGTCCTGTAAGATCACAGATTATGGTATGTAATGAGTCATTGTCCTGGTCCTTTTCAAGAATCAAATGTTAAAAAATCGTTGAAAGCTTTTGAAAAAAGTCAAGAGCTACTGTCTCATGGAGAGTATTTATTTTTATATGTGCTAAATCTTGCTCAACCAAAAAAAAATAAAAAAGAAATGGTGAGCCAGAGTAAAATAAACATGCAGATCAATGTATCTCCATGTGTGCCATGTTACATCAGATGCATTTCCGTTGAATGTACGTCAAAGATATACATCTGTGTGCAAGATACACATTTGTACGTCAAAGGTAAATGTTTGTATGCAGAGTTTTAAATTCTCTAATTTTTCAATATTCCTTAAAAGAGAAAAGCAATTTGTTTATAAAAATGTTAATAAAAATTATCAAGTAATCTTTTTGGAGTAATTACAAAAACCTAGCCCTTCATTTTTATTTTTCTTGTTAGTTTGTATATTTAATTTAAATATAGTTTTAACCAGTTATTTGATTTTATAGGAGACTAAAATGCTCTTCTTTTCCCCTTACTTATTTTTTTGTTAATTTACATTTGAGACAATGCTTTCTATTTTGAGTGAAATTAATACTTCATTCATATTTTTTTGGCTTGTTTGTTTGCTTTTGCTAACCTTTATATTTGCTAATAAATGACTTCAATTCTAGCCAATCTTGCTGACCATCTGCTCTGGATGAGAAAGTTGGATTTTATGAGCTACTGAATTATCCTTTGGAAAAACTTTAATAGAGGTTTAATATATTATATTTTTCAATATGGGTAATAGGCCATATGTGTATTTACTGAAAGAGTTTCTGGTTGTTGGGTTTTTTTTTCTAATCACACTATTCAAGGGGAATTATTTTACTATGCTTTTCTTTGTAGTTTGTTTTCTGGTATTGTATGTTAGATTTCCATTTATAATCAGTAAATTTAAAACTTGCAGTATCTCCTTAGTGTTTAGACCTCAGGATGTTTTCTCTGCCCAACTATGAGCATATATATATATGTATATATATATATGTCAATTTATTATTAGCAATTACATTAATTCGTTCCAGGCTCTTCCCTTGGCATTTGGGTTTTATACCTGTAGTCTCCATCTCTCCCTCTCTAATCTTTTCTTATATTCTCCCGTTTATCGCTTTGCTGCCAACAAGAGATTGCTAAAGTCATTATCTCTAGATTACGTTGCTTAGTACGGAATCTTCAAGGTCTTCCTATGAAAAATGTCTCTGAATTCATGCTGCATTCTAGCACTAATTCATTAAGTCAGATAATCCAAAGAAATATTCCAGAGGATACAAGGAAAAGAAAGGCTTTGAACTTGGAATAGATTGGCAATCAGGTTCTCTATGAGTTCTTTGGGCTTTGGGAAATTTCTACTCATCTCTGAATCTGTTTCCTCATTTTTAAATGGGGAGTTAATGTCTAGTTTCATGCCTTTGTGCTCCAGTTAGCCCAGCATCTACTGGTGAGAAATGTTGCTTTCGTATAGAGAGAGGCAGAGAAGATTCAAGCAAAATCCTTTTTGTATACCTTTGATTTTCTTGATCTTTCAAGAGGTTCTTGAAAGTGTTAGTATTGTCATTGTTTATTGTTATGGCAACTATTGTTCAGTGATTCTCATCCATTTGATGTTTTAAGACACCAGGATTTTTTTCTAGTAATGTAGAAAACCATATTAAAACCTTGTCAATATTGTTTACACTTATGTTCGAATTATTTTAGTTGAAGATTTTCAGCACATTGATCTATCGATGCCTTCGCCTGACTCAAGATTCATTAAATCAGTTTCCGAAAGACACGTCCCGGGAAGTAATTTTAGACCTGCCTAAATACAGTCCCTGTCTGCCAAAGCTGACATACATGATCTAATTCACTTAAAAGGGACCCAAAGTGAGTCTTTTGGTTATTCCTCTCATGCCTGTTGATGAAGGTTCAACCCTAATTTCTCTCCTACCTCAGCTTCCAGATCCCCTGTCCACCTCTCACCCTTCCCACCTGAACTCTGTGACATTCAGAAGCCTTGTGGAGAAATTGTCTACGCACCTGTTGATTCTACAAGATGAGGGGTGGGGTGCTGTTAAGAGTGAGAAAGGTTGATAGTTCATGAGACGCACTCTCATTGCTCTCTGATTATACAGTAAAACAAATTACTGAATTCTCCACTCAGCTCTTTACCTGGTACTCTGCCAGGAGGAATTTTTGTCAGAAAGACAGCAAACAAGGATTATTCATCGTAACCAGAGAAACAGCAAGTTTTTAGAGGTAACTACTCTTCTCATGAGGCTGTTTGTGACCTTGCCGATGTTAATTATCAGTCCTAAGAAGAAAAAAACAGATGCTATGTTCCTTCTTTAAATACATAAGTAGGAACCTATTTAGGAGAACTTTTCCGTTGTTGAGATTTCTTAGAAATTGTAAATTTTGAGGTAAACGTAACACTGGGGTAGTTTATAATTGAGGATACTGTTCCATAATTCCTATTGCTGCTGCTTTACTCGTAGCCAAGCTATGCGCATCCCTGCCTTCAGTCTAGTAATACATGAGCATTTGAAACGCTGCGGGCTGCATTCATGCAGGAACAACAGCTTGCCTAGCACCTATATGCCTTCGCATTTGTATTTGTATTTTTTGTCAAGATTCTCACAGGTGTTGAATTCAACACTTAGTAACACCTGGCCAGGCTGTTTGAAAATTATGTTCATCTTAACTGATATATGATACAGTCGTAAGAAGAAAAACCGTCATTCTGATAGGCTTCTTATTTCCCAAATTGAACATAGAGCTTTATGGTAAAGGGTAGCAATTATAAACAAATCAATAATTCAGGCATAACTAAGTGGAAAATACAGCCTTGGGAAATTGCTCCCTGAAGAGAAATTTAGTCTTGTCACTCTTTTCTCACTAACAGATATGTGTTACAGGTAATATTGTGGGGAAAATTCAAACATTCGAGTCGGAGAATCAGATGAAATTTCTAGCTTTGCCATTCCTTCTTTTTGACCCTAGGCAAATGATCTAACCTCCTCATTTTGTCCTGTGTTAAGCACATCAAAGGTGCTGGGAACCAATATACAACATCTGTGGCTTGCCTCGTGGATATCCCATAATTGGTGTTTCTTATAACAATAGGATTTATCTTTCATGGAAGAAGAATCATCCCCTCCCTCCACCTTCTCCAGGCGAAGCTTCTGTGTGGGGTGTCATCAGCTAGGAGTTTGCCCTGTATTTGTCTGTACCGGCCAATTTTATACCCTTCCCTGACCTCTCCCTTCATATCTTCATGTTAGGGAATGAGACAAAGACACCATCCAAGTTTCAGGGCTGTCATGTGTCTCACTAACCCAGGCATTCTCCGTGACACCACCATTTCTGTCAGGTCATTTTCCCTCTCGACTTTCCTGCTTCTCTTTCTCCCTCCCTGGAATCATTTGTCAGCAGAGTTTTCAGCCTTCCTCCTTGCTTACCTACATGCACTTTTTGTTCAAAAATTCATATCTTTTGGGAAAGTACTTCCTTAGGAGCCAGAGATGAGAGGTCAGGCCTCCTTGGGAGTCGGTGCTGCTCTTCCTGTCGGGTTAACTGGCGATTAACTGGCACAGCACATGTTACACATACGTGAGGCAGAGGAGGGTGACTGCTGTTTTGGTCTCCAGGACCAATTACTCTGGACAGCGGGGGAAAGGGTCCGGGACATTTGGAGGTCACCACGCCCAGGAGCCCTGGGACTGCGCTCGAGAGCAGCATGTCTCTAAAGTTTTCTGCCCATGGACCTCTCATGCCTCCCTGCTGCCCCTGGACTCGTGCACACGCCCCTGTTCATGCACTTTTCACCCATGACCCCCTTGTAGTATGAGAAACATTGCGCTAGATGATGTATTTGTGGCACCCTTCTCAAGCTGTCAAAAAAGCTTTTCATAAAAGAGAATCTGAAAGCTCTCAAATGTTGACATCAGTGCTGGGACCCCACAAGGTCACTCCCAGCCCTCAGACTCCTTCTGTGACCCCCTCGCTTTGTGTGACTCCCCCAAGGCTCCCCCAGGCTCTGCTTGACCCCAGTGTTCTTTGGCCTGACGGGAGATCTCAAACCTCATCCCAAGATTTACCACAGGAGTGTTTGGATTCCTCAGGGGGAAGTGTCTCTTAGTTAAGGAAACCATTGCTTCTTTGGTCTTTTTTTATGGTGGCACTTATAATCCACATTTGTTTGGGCAACAAATGATGCTAAGTTCCTGCTGTATGCAGAGTTCTGTGTTAGATGCAGAGTTCGTACAGTTCCTCCATTCCTAGAATGTTCATCTGTTGTCATCCACAGGGAAGGGCTTTCCTGCTTTATTAACGAAAAAAAAGTCACACTTTTCCTTTTAGACAAGAAGGATGGGATGGAGCAGCCTTCTGACATTAATCTTTGCTTTAGTGTAACCCAACCTCCCCTCAGTCCTGTTGACCTTCCAACACTACTGAAAGATTAATAGTTCGTGCCTTCCCTCCCTCTTCATGGGATACCAGACGTTTTTAGATGTCAGTTAACCCAAATTGGGATCCGGGATACATTATCAAAGTAAACACACTGAAGCAACAAAAAGAAATCCCAGCAAACTGAGATTTAGGACTCCACCATGATCTAAAGATGTTATTCATTTTTTGTCAAATTTTTAAAAATCATATTGCAAAAATAATTTTGCTCTTTATTGTATCATTTTGTTTTTCATACTATTAGGTGTGAGTTACATAAATTGATGTTTCATTGAAAATTAAATTCATATAATTTCCTTTCTATGTTTTCTTTTATTTTCAAATTGTTTTTCCAAGTATACTAAGATTAATGTGTTAGGTTCGACTTCTTTTGTCAGTAGGAATAACTCTAATACTTGTAAAGTGACAGGAATTTAGAGAATACATTTGCAAGCCAAAAAAGAAGACATTCTACTGTTGATTATTCACCACTTTCTCTCCATTCTATCATTTAAATATAGATAGTTTTTATTGTTTCTAACAAAATA